TTAGCCCCAAATACAAGTTAGACTGCCTTGTTCATTTTTCTATAATTCAGTGCGAATTGTAAAAACTGTGGCACAAGCTTGGTTATACACCAGGTAGACACTCGGCAACTGGTCCACCCATGCTGTTTTGGGATGACTGCCCTCATGCAGGTATGGCCTGCAAACAGCATTGATGAATGTGGACTCTAGTAAATAACACATTGCATATCGAAGCAAAATATATCATGTATAGCCTCCTAAGTGAATGCTAATTGATCTATGGATACTCATGAAGCCCTCTGAAAATGGGAGGAATAGATCTATGCATTTCTCCGCACACATTACAGCTAAATTTAATCAGGTGCTATGTGCCAGGCATTATTTTAAGCCCTTTATACAACAGCCCCATGAGGGCTACTATTATTCTCATTTTATAGATGAGAAAACTGAGCTAGAGTGTGTTTAAATCACAAGCCCATGATGTTAACAAACAGAAACACATATATACGTATAAACACACACAAGTTATAGGCTGCAACAGGGTGAGAGGACAACCATTTTGGATACTAAACAAGACATGGTCCCAGGCGGCAGAGGAGGCCAGAACCTGTTCCGGGGAGGGCCACAGCAGGAACGGGGCTTCTGACCATCACTCTCCACTTGTCCCACTCAAAGGGATGAACACCCCTTAATATCCAGAGGCAGCAAGGCCTTTTCCAGCTTAAAACCCCATAGGGACTCACTATCCGCTTCCATCCCCTTCCACTCTAAGCCCTGGCACGCTGCGGTGGCCCTCCCCTCCCTCCGTCTGCCTGTCTTTCCGTCGGTCTGTCCCATGACCACCTGCTGCACACTTGCATGACACAGGTGCTGTCACACAGCCAGGCTCACTTTCTAGTGGGGAAAATGAAAGACACACAAATAAATGTATTCTGTAACTATTATGTGCTATGAAGACACTGTTTTTCTTTTTTCTTGGTTCTTGGAAACAGAGTAAGGAAAGGAATAAATAGTGTTTAAAGAAGCCTCATTGCCTAGTACCCACATCATGTTGGAACCAATAGTCCATCATTAGAAAAACATCAAAAGCTGACGATTCAGCCGGGTGTGGTGACTCAGGCCTATAATCCCAGCACTTTGGGAGCCAAGGCGGGAGAACTGCTTGAGGCCAGGAGTTCGAGAGCCTAGGCAACATGGCGAGACCTTGTTTGTACTAAAAATAAAAAATAAGTTGACCGGGTGTGGTAGTGTACATCTGTGGTCCCAGCTACTTGGGAGGCTGAGGTGGAAGGATCGCTTGAACCTGGGAAGCTGAGGCTGCAGTGAACCGTGATTGTGCCACTGCATTCTAGCCTGGGTGACAGACCGAGACCCTGTCACAAAACCAAACCAAACCAAACCAAACCAAACCAAACCCTAAAGAGTCCAGCATTCAGACCTTACATAACCAGTGGCGGGGTGCGCCATCTCCAGCCCTCAGCATCAGCAGAGGGGATGCAGAGGCACGGATGCCCATCTAGGAAGCAGTGAAGAGACCTTCACCTGTCTGAAGACTTCCTTCTCCCCTAACAGGGAGGGAGGCTTGGGCAAGCCTGCTCATTTCCCAGGTCTTCCATTTTCTCACCTCTTAATTTGTGTTACTCACATTCTACTCCATGAGGAATTCTAGGAAAAACGGATTCTAGGTCAAATAAATTTGGGAAACAGATGTTGTGCTGTGTTTATCCCTTGGAAATTCAGTCCATTAAAGGCTCTGAAGAGTCCTAGAGTAGAAGCACCTGCTTGGCCTGTGCATTGTGGCATCCCAAACACGGTGTGGAGGGAGCCCTGACCCACCCACTCCTGCCGGCCACATTCTTTGGGGAAGGCCACCCGACTTTGAGTCGAATCCCAACATTCTATGATGTTGTCATTCAACATGGGTGAGTTCCAGCCAGCTCTTCTAAGCACCCACAGGCACTCCACATCACCCATACTCTAGGATAGTATGACACCATAAACATAATTATTTGGTCTCTGCCCCTGGTTTCTGGCACAACCACAAGGCTCCTAAAATGCTTGCCATTTCCTGAGCCACAGGGGTTTTCAGACCGTCTTTCATTCTAGTGTTTGGTCTTTGACTTCGGTTCCTGACAGACAGCTCCTAATCCCTTGGAATTTCTTGGGTGATGGAAGTGTCTTTTGTTCTAATGAAGCAACTCTAATGGGCTCCTGGATGGGGCTGGTCACCAGAAAGACCAGGTTATGCTGAGAAGCTTGAAACGGTCAGTCCCCCACCACCCCATCCTCTGGGAAGGGGAGAGGAGCTGGAGATCATGCCCATGTGATGAGGCCTCCGTCAAAGTCCCTGCACTCCGGGATGTGGCTGCCGGACACACGGAGGCGCTGGGAGAGCAGCACACCTGGAGAGGGCACACCTGGAGAAGGCATGGAAGCTCCGACACCCCAGCTCCACACCGTGCGCTATGCATCTCTCCCATCCAGCTGCTCCTGGGTTTCAGTCTTTCCTAATAAACAGGTAAACCAGGAAGTAAACCATTTCCCTGAGTTCTATGAACTGTTCTTGCAAATGAATGAATTCAAGGTGAGGTTGTGGGAGCCCTGAGTTAGAGTCACACAGCAGGTGACAACTTGGACTTGTGACTGGCATCTGAAGCAGGAGCATCTTGTGGGAGGAAGCCTTTAACCCATGGGGTCTGTGCTAACTCTGGGTAGGCAGTGTCAGAACTGAATTGACAGGTAGGACACTCAGTGTCTGCAGAGAATTGGAGAATTGCTTGGTGTGGGGGGAAAAGCCCATATGGCTGGTGTCAGAGGTGAGAAGTTTGGTGAGAGTATAAAGGAGGAAAAGCAGCTTGTTTTTTTCCTATTCACTGGGTCACAGAGTATGGAAGGTGTGGAGTGTAGAGAGGAAGCCGTGGGTATTTCCCGTATGCAGATGGCGTTCAGGATGGAGAGGGCAAGAAAGAAGCACATTGTTCTGTCCCTGCACTCACAGGTGCCAGGGACACCACCAGGACATTTGAAACTGTGGCACATAGAGACGCCCACTCACGATGAAGAGGAGAGTCCTGAGTAAGGGGGACAACGCTGGTATGGAGAAGGGTTCCAGACTGTCCTTGGCAGCAGGTGTTGGCAGATGCTGGATGGTCTGCTGACACTCAGTTAAAGATCATGTCTGAATGGTTCTCTAACCTCCTTGCTATTGTGTGCTTAATTACTGTAAAGCAGACTTTACATAGGATTCCAGAAAAACTAATTCAGCTGGGCAAACAACAGAGCTGGTTGCCGTTTTGTTCTTCTGTTGCATTTCAATTATCTGAATTTGTAAAATAAAGTTCATAAATATTTAAGAAATGCTTTTTTGAGCTGCCACTCTTAAAAGGCATGGCCATTCATTTTCTCATTTCCTGTGTGTCTGCCAAGGTTCAGCAGGAAACCAGATAACAAACCTCACTCTTCCAAAGCACCAGGCCCTATTTTCAGTTGGGAAATATTACTTACCCTCTCGTTTCTCATCCATGTCACATGCTATGCAAAAAAGCATCACTTTCTGTCAGTTCAGAGAGGACTCACGCACAGCAGGTTTGTGAGCTGGAACATCTGAGCCACACTGTCTAATGTGCTAGCTACAGGGCACACGGGGTCATTTACATTTAAATTCACCAGAATGAAATGAAATTAAACTTGTAATTCACACTAGTCATATTTCAAGTGCCCAGTTGCCACAATGTGGCTGATATACTGAATGGCAGATCTGGAGCATCCCGTCATAGCACATGGTTCTACTGGAAAGCACTGATTAGATAGTAGCCCAGGGAGTAAGGTGCTCCCAAGCTGAGGCTATAACATGCATCAACATGCATCATGTCATCCTGCCGTCTCACGTCACATTGTACCTGCTGATGTGTTCATCTTTCCACTAGAAAACCCCTGCTCCTCAACTCCCATTTTTTAAAATGTTTATTTTTTTGAGACAGAATCTCACACCGTCGCCCAGGCTGGAGTGTAGTGGTGCGATCTCGGTTCACTGCAACCTCCACCTCCCTGGTTCAAGCGATTCTCCTGCCTCAGCTTCCCAAGTAGCTGGGATTACAGGTGCCCACCACCACACCCAGCTAATCTTTTGTATTTTTAGTACAGACAGAGTTTCACCATGTTGACCAGGCTGGTCTCGAACTCCAGACCTCATGATTTGCCCATCTCGGCCTCCCAAAGTGCTGGGATCACAGGCATGAGCCACCGTGCCTGGTCCTAATTTGTATTATTTTAGAAACACGGTCTCACTCTGCTGTTCAGGCTGGAGTGCAGTGGTGCAATCACAGCTCACTACAGCCTCGACCTCCGGGGCTTTAGCAATCCTCCTGTCTCAGCATCCTGAGTAGCCTGGACTACAGGTACAGGCCATCACACCTGGCTAATTTTTTTTTTGGTAAAGACGGAGCTTCCCTATGTTGTCCAGCCTGGTCTTGAACTCCTGGCCTCAAGCAATCCTCCTGCCTTAGCCTCTTAAAGTGCTGAAATTACAGGTGTGTGCCACTGCACCAGGCCAAATCCTCATTTAGAATCACTTGGTAGCTCTTAAAGATCTGGTGGTGCCCTCTGACCCTGACAAATTAGATCAGGCTTTCTGGGCACAGCAACCAGCATCAGCATTTAGTAAAAGTTCTCTGGGCAGACTGGGTGTGGTGGCTCACGCCTGTAACCCCAGCACTCTGGGAGGTCGAGGCATGTGGATCACTTGAGGTCAAGAGTTCGAGACCAGCCTGGCCAACATAGTGGAATCCTGTCTCTACTAAACATACAAAAATTAGCCAGGTGTGGTGGCACGTGCCTGTAATCCCCGCTAATTGAGAGGCTGAGGCAGGAGAATGGCTTGAACCTGGGAGGCGGAGGTGGCAGTGAGCTGAGATTGCACCACTGCACTCCAGCCTGGGCAACACAGCCAAACTCCACCTCAAAAAAAAAAAAAAAAAAAGTTATCTGAGCAATTCCAGGATGTGGCCATTGGAGGGGGACTGAGAGCGGGCAGGGAGTCACCACTTACTGCTGGAAACGAAGGGAAAGCCCGCGTGTGAGAACAGTAATGGCTGCACCGTTAGCAAAAAGGAAAAGCAAAAGCAGAGCGGGATAAGCGCCCTGCAGATCCAATCTTGTTGATTCCTTGGCACAGCCCTTCGCTGACCCCTGAAGTTCGTGCAGAGGTGAGGAATGGGTGCCCTGTGTCAAAGGTCTGTGCTGTGGCTGCCCTCAGCACTGTGCCCTCTGCTCAGTGCCCCAACCGTGCAGCGAGGAATCCTGGAGACCCTCTACTGGGCAGGACGAGGGGGCGGGGGCGAGGGCCACAGCCCTGAAGGCGGGACACAGGCTGTCCTCCTGAGGGCAGGTGAGGAGGGTCACAGGCAGCAGCTGCACAAGTCTTTGGTTCCCGTAGACCTGCTGCCTCCACAGGGCCCGGACTCTGTCTCGTGTTACCAGCTGTGCAGTAATTAAGGAGCAATGCTGGCGGTGGGGCGAGCCAGTCACAGAGCCTGACGCATGGGGGATGAAGCTGGGGCCAGAGACTCTGATGACCAACTCTCTCGGCTGGGGCCTGGACACACGCTTCTGTTTAATGTGCTGTAGCACAAGGTGTGTCGCCTTCCAGCAGAGGCGCTGACTCAGAGAGGAGTGACCTCTCCAACCTTCCGTGAATCATTAGAACATTGCAGAGTGACAGCGGGAGCTCCAGTGATTAAACACGGAAGTGAGGCTGGCCAGAGATCACAAGAGGCCCAACACCCAGACAGTACGGAACCTGGGTGGGCACGTCGTCCGTTTTGTCATCCACAGACCAGAGGTAAGCTTCACCCAGCCCCACACGAATTATCCACGTCTGTGTTTGGTGAAACCCGCATTAATGCTGTGTGACCGACCAAGCCCTGCAGCACCGTCTGTCCGGTTTAGACGAAACCCAGCTTGCTGAGAATAGGAACCAGCACCTCCCCCTTCCTCACGGAGCTCCGCTTTTCTGAGGGCATTTTGGTGGATTTTCACTAAGTTCTAGATGGAAACATACAAAATATCTCTTCCCAAGCTCACTGCTTTCCAGATCTCAAGAATGAAGCCCAAACCGTGGAAAGAAACATGCTGTGATCAGTGTAGAAGGAACACAGCCTGCGAGACGCCTCCTCCAATCACACCTGGACCACAACAGGAGCCACAACAGCACCGCACAGGGCCCTCCATCACCTCTGAGTGAGTCCCTTGGGCCCCCACTTCCCAGCAGTGACTGAGAACACAGTTAACGGCAGGGTCTTGGAAGGAGGGGCTACAAAGACACAGAAGCATGGTCACAGTGGGGACGGCACCTTCCCCTCCGCCTCTGCCCACCCCGCCAATATCAGCTGGCTCCTCCTCCTTTTACCCGCTTCGTCTTCCACTCTCTTTGTCCTTCCCTCCCTCTGTATGGGTTCCTCCCTCCAGGTGACTCCTGACATTGGTGGGGCCTGTGATGAGTACCCAGGGGGGCTCAGCTGCTACAGTGTGAAATACCTAAAACTGGTCCATTAGGCTACAGCCAAAGGCTGGCTTGTGTGTGCACCCACACCTGAAGCCTGCTCCCCGGGAGTGTCCTCACAGCCCAGAGGCTACACACAGACGCCAGGGCCTGGGAGCCTGGGAATGGCATGCAGTCCTGCCACGCGGCAGAGGGAAGCCCGTGATTAAACATGGAGGTGAGGGCAACAGGAATAACAGGAGGTGCAGCCACCCGGACAGCACAGAGGTGAGCGGGTGCCTCCTCTGTTTCATAACCCACAGTGGCTCCTCCACTTCAAGAACTCCACTGTGAGGAGGCGAGGGATTGCTTTGTTTACCTCCTAATCCCTTTCTCTAACAAAATAGTACCGCCAAGTAGAAAACCCTCCAACAGTATTTCTCAAAAGGACAGAGATCAATGATATGAAGTCATGTATAGGAAACAGACAGCAAAACAAGCTCTGCATTTGAGTAACAGAGAAAAAGAAGAAAGAAGCAGCACATGAGTCTAGGTGCATGTGCATAAGGAAGAGAGGAGGACTGAGCCCAGGAATCATGAGAAGAGAGCTGTTGTGTGAGAACGTGATGAGCGTATGTGCTATTGTGTGTGTGTGTGTGTGTCACACACGTGCACAGGCACTGGAAGCACACTCATACCTGTCAGCAAACCTGACCCACTGGCTCTTTCCCAAACACAGCATCACATTTAGCTATTCCAAACCATCGAGACTGCTGACGCTGATACGGAGAATCCAGGATCAACTCTACCAAAACCACACGAGAAAATGAGGCTGTCTCTTATTTTCTGACTCATCAAAGCCAAATATCTTCTATTTAAGGGCTGAGGATTTAGGGGAACCTGGGCCAGGCCCTGGCTACCTGCCCCATGCCCATGCTGGATGGGCACTGGCCCAGTCAAGCCCCAGGCAGGCAGGTTCCTCTCTCTCTTCTAATTTAGGATGTCCAGGCCATTGCAAGTAACTGCTAAAACCACATCACCAAGTGAAGAAAGGAGTCAAGGTATTTGTGGATTGTGGTCTGCCTGGACACTCACTTGGGAGGCACACCCAGCTTTACACAAAAGCACATGCCCCCTTTCAAAAATACTTCCAGTTAAAGAAAGTTAAGAAATCAATACATTCAGGATACATACACGGAGTTAACCTGCCTTTTTAAAAACTGCAGGCTCTCCCAGCGCCAGGCAAGTTTTCAGGAAGGTGGTAAGAGGACACAGGATTTTCACCCAATCCCTATTATTATCTCATGGGAAAACTGTTTTTAGAATCCAAAGTCTCAGCTGGACCCATCAAGCCTTCATTTTGCCTCTCCTTTGCGATGACAGGAGAAGAGAAGGTAGTGTTTTTTTTTTTTTTGAGACAGTTTTGTGCTCTTGTAGCCCGGGCTGGAATGCAATGGTGCGATCTCGGCTCAGAGCAACCTCCGCCTCCCAGGTTCAAGCAATTCTCCTGCCTCAGCTTCTCGAGTCGCTGGGATTACAGATGCCCACCACCACACGCCTGGCTAATTTTTTGTATTTTTAGTAGAGATGAGTTTCACCATGTTGGCCAGGCTGGTCTTGAACTCCTGACCTCAGGTGATCCAACCACCTCAGCCTCCCAAAGTGTTGGGATTACAGGCGTGAGCCACCGCGCCTGGCAGTTGTGAGATTTTATGCCTCTAGGAAAAGGTGTGTATGTGTGTAACTGAAGCAATTAATACTGAATATCTTCTATCTTAAACTATTATCATCTAACAGGCAGGGGCTATAACTAGCAGCTGCCTTAGTGCCCACAGTTCAGAATCTGTTATATAGGGGTACCAGGCAGGTGTAGACATCATATTCTGGGGCCAGACGCAGAGGCAGAATGAGTGCTTTGGGGTTGAGTGCACGTGGCCGAGAGGACAGAGCTGGCGGGAAGAAGACCAAGGGCCCTGCAACCAGCAACTGTGACCAGTGCACCCTTGCCACTGCAGCAGAGCCTGGTCCGAAGCTGATGACAGAGCTGATGCACCAAAGTGTGTGACATCCTATCTGGCCCTGGGGCTGGCTGCCAAAGAGGCTGTGGCCAGCAGGAGCCAGGCGCTTCCTCAAAGACATCACTCATCCCAGGAGAAAGGTGGTAGCTAGGACTTCTAACCTCAGGACCCCCGACTCTGCTCTCTTTGGGCCTGCAGGTGACCTGGCTTCCCCATGCACATACCTGGTTTCCCCCAGCATTGTGACATTCATAAACTCCAACCACACCATCAGCAAAGTGTCCCAAGGTGTCCAGGCAGTTAGTTCCCTGCTGCAAGGCCCCAAAAGCTATATCCTGATGGTCTGGAACCCTGAAAAACAAGGTGAGAATCACCTGCTTAATTGCACATGACCACCAGCTCCCGTCCACCAGCCCCTTTCTCATCGGTTTCATGACAGGTGATAGGAACGAGAGAAAGACCCAGTGACCAGGCATCGTGCCCCTTCCTACCACAGGTAGTGTGTGTCAGGGACACGGCATTTCTCCCCGGCTCTGGACTTCCAACACTTTAAGACTGTATGTTGGAGAACTATTCTTTATATTCTATATCAGGTCTTTTTTTTTTTTTTGGAAAGGAAGGAAAAGCTCCTGATACTCTTCAATGTTAGTCTTATTGGAGGTCATTTAGAAAATCAGTGTGGCCAGATCCTGTTGCCTTGAACTTTCCAATACACTTAGGATCTGACCTTTATTCAGTCAAGACGGGAAAGGTGAGTAGACTTGTCAGGTGGCCTGATGCGAACAAAGCCACAGCCACGAGGAAAAACAACATGCTTCAGAACCAGATCCGAACCTCAGCCCACCTCTGCCAGGTGCTGGCTTTCAGGCAAGACTCCCTTCCTCTGAAGCTTGATTTGCCCTTTCGTAGGCTACGGGCTGCCCAGATCTGCTGCAAGCGTTACATAAAACATTTTGTGTAAAGCACGCGGCCCGGTGCCTGGCTCGTAGGAAGTACTCAGTAAATGGCAGTGATATTAACAGACACAAAACATGAGGCTGGCGTCTCCCTCACCCCCCACAGGTAGGGGAAGCAGATTTGCCAGCTGGGATGGTGCTCAGGTGTGGTCTTCAGTGGGTGCAGGGCCCAGTGTCACTACAAACCATGGGTGACCTCTGTGAGAAACTGCAGTCCACTGTGACTGAAAAAGCAAAGTGAGTAGCATGGTTGGGTTAAAATCCACTGAAGTGAAGCCCCGCTTTGGCTGACGGAGAGTTGATGATCAGCGGTTTCCCACTGGTGACCACTGCTGCTCTTAATCCCCAGCAAAAACTGTCCTGCGCGGCAGGGATCCGAGGGAGAAGGACGCTGTGTTCTCTCCTGTTCTCCTCCTAGGGGGGATGGGCCACCTGGCGCCTGACATGTTACTTGAAAAGCAGAGGAAATGGTTCCAAAGAGCCAAGTGAGCGAACAGGAGCAACACAGAGAGGCCGCATTACCTAACTGTCCAACAAATCTCCATGACAAGGGCTCTGAAGGAGCCGTTAGCGGAAAGATAATGGTGGCAAGTCTTGCGTTCAGGCACTGTGCTGGAGATATGTGAGCCGCTGTAAAATGCTCTGGGAATATTTAGAATAAGGAATGTGCCGCATTAAGGCACGATCTGCCTGACAGTCCTTTAAGAAGACGAAGTGCAGGTGGCCCCTCCACCCCAGCGGATCCACAGGTAGGTTATCAGCGGGTCCCTCCGGATGGGAGCTTGTATTCGCTTAAAACAAGAGGCCGGGTGTGGAAATAATGCTCGGAAAGGTGTTTCTGCCATGAATCCTCCGGAGGGCCGCAGGGCAGCGGCATTATTACTCCTGTCTCACACGTGATTAAGCCAGCTGGGAGGAGGGAGGCACGTGGGCAGGTCCCCACGCTCGGAGCCTTGTTGGGGCCATTACCTGCTGGCCCACAGGAGCAGCAAGGGTGAGCGCAGCAGATCAGAGGCAGGCGAAGGCGCCCGGCGGAGGGGATTGAGGGCTGGCCGCAGACAGCGCACGCTTGCGGAGGCTGGAGACTGCTCCCAGACACTCAAAAAGCCTGTCAGACACCAGTCCTCCGGGTCACCCAGCCCATCACCTTGCCAATGGAGAACAAGCCAAAACCAAGGGACTGCCTCTGGGACTCTGAAGCATGGGAGGGCAGCTCTGCAGGATGGAGAGCAGCAGGCCAACTTGGGAACAGATTCTCAGGTCCACGCCATGGGGTGAGACCACAGACTCTCACTGGGGCCCAGGTGCCCAGTCTCATGCCTGCAGCAGCACCTCCATTTCCCCTCTGCTGCTTCTCTGGCCTTACTGGTTTCTAAGCCCTTATAAAGTGAAACCCCAGATCACTGGGGACTTACCTTAACTCTGGATAGACATTTTCAAGGTACCATTTGAAAGGCTTGCAGCTAAGTTTCTTCCTAAGCTCCAATCTGCTCTGAATACTGGAGAAGGAAATAAGATTCCTTTATAAATTTTAAGAATAGATGGGCTTTCTACATCAAACTTGAAAATCTGCTGAGGAGATTGGGGTTGGGGCAGGTGGTGTGGTGTGGATTGCCCACGCTCCTGTGCCCACAACCCCTTCCCGCCTTGGCACGTGGGTAGCTGTCCTCAACCCTGATGGCAGTCCCTTACCTCCCACCCCCGCACCCCAAGAATCCCCAGTAATTGTGAGAACGCAGAACTGCCACTTACTTTCCATAAGGAACGTTTCTAGCGGAAGGCACTGCTGCATAATAGAAATTTTTGTATTCATCCATCCAGACCTCTGCTGCCCGGCGGGTGTTTCTAGAAAGAAAATAAATCTTGAGGTGTGATTTGCTTTCTTTCTGTCTGCATCACTCCATTTGCACCTGTCTGCTGGAGTATGACTGAGGCGGCTCCCTCTGGATGTGCAGCAGCTCCAGCTGGGATCACGGCACACAGCAGAGGGCGAGCTGTCCCCACCAGCACCTAGAGCTGGATCTGTGGGGAGCCAGCCTCAGCCAGTGCTTACTGAACCATTGGAATAGCTTTCTTGTCACACAGATGGTCAAAGGGCAAAAGGCAGAGTTGAAATTACAGCACAACCTGGTATTTTAAAGGAGGGACTAGGGGCTGTATCATGAAGGACAAAAGAAAGTCACTCTTTAAAAACTCTCGCATCACGTGTCCACAGAGCCTGGGGCCGCAGAGCACAGCAAGGAAATTCCAGACCCCACGGCCTTCTCCATCATGGCTACGACACTACCAGACAGCTCTGTGGAAAAGTTCAGACTACATAAGATAAGAGTTCCTGGGAAAATCACTTTCTTTTCTGCCGGGCTGAGCGGCAAGACTGCCATGTTTGCACTAGAAACAGTGATAGGAAGGGGCGGGAGTTCCACGCCCCATGTCTGTGTGCAGTGGGCTTTTTTTTTTTTGAGACGGAGTCTTGCTCTTGCTGCCAGGCTGAAGTGCAATGGCATGATCTCGGCTCACTGAAACCTCTGCCTCCCGGGTTCAAGCGATTCTCCTGCCTCAGCTTCCTGAGTAGCTGCGACTACAGGCATGTGCCATCACACCCAGCTAAACTTTGTATTTTTAGAAGAGACTGGGTTTCACCATGTTGGCCCGGATGGTCTTGATATATTGACCTCGTGATCCACCTGCCTCAGCTTCCCAAAGTCCTGGGATTACAGGTGTGAGCCACCATGCCCAGCCGGCTTTTCTAGAAGGGAAGAAAACCATGTACTTAAATCTCATGGAGAGAACCGTGATTTGCCATAAATAAAGCCCCTGGGACAAGCTACTCTTGAGTGTCTGACAGGCATTAAAGGCTATCATCTGCATAGGTATCAGCAGCGCATCCTGCCAAGAATTGTCTTAAAACTTCCATGAAGTAGCAAGCACACAGCAAACCTCTTTGCTTCCATATTCTGGTCTCAGCTACAAGGTAGGCTCCCACTTCAGGCTACAGCCAGCCCTCCTTAAGAATCCCATAGAGAAGGCACCGTGTTCTTCCAAAATAAATACAGTAAGGAGGCAATGCTCGCCTTTTAAAATAATTCCTTAAAATGGCAAACCTTTCAACTGATCTGAGATACCATTATTAAAATAATTTCTGTACGGGGCCTATATCTAAGGTGATATATATACTTTCTCATTTTAGGAAGTGGAATATGGACTATTATCTACAATGCCTTTCAACACAGATAAGAAAATATGAATGCACCTATTCTCTGACCCAGCAGCTCTACTTCTAGAAATGTCTCTCAAGGAAACAATCAATTAGGAATGAAATATACATGTGAAAATATGCTCACTTCCGCTTTGTTTATAATAGCAAAAAAAAAAAAAAAAAAAAAGAAACTGTATGACTAAATATGAGGAAGGAATCAAATGAAATATTCTGTGACCACTAAAACACAAGTGTGCATCTTACATGTTGACATAAATGATTTTGTGGATTTCTGGGAAAATAAAATAGTTTGCAGAATTGCACATAGTGGATATGTGTGTAGAGGCAGGAGAGCCAGTGCGCAAACAAGAAAAATAGATACTGACAGACGAATTCATCAAATTATGAGAGCGTTATGGCACAACTGGTTTGGCGATGAGACTGATGAATTTTCACTTTCTCTCTGTTAAAAAATATACAGATACAGTGATGAGCACTTAAAGTGCTGGGGGATGCTGGATCATATATATCATTTCTCAGAAGAGACACTAAATATTGTTAGTGAGGTTTTGGGGTCTTGCTAAGTGATCTCAGCCTTAACCTATGCCTAGTCAGTTTTTAACCAGTTATTAACTTAAATACTTGTAACATCTGGCACCTGGATTTCCCCAACAGGGAAATGAAAGGATTTGATTCCAGAATGTCCTAGGTTCCTTTCAGCCTTAATGGTTTAAAGGTTTTATGAACTCTAGTCACACTGTTTTCAAATCACTCAAATTCTGAAGTGATTAAGTCACTTAAGAATTCCTAAACGCAAAGCAATTCTTTCCTATCTTCATAACAGAAAAGGATAACCAGGCAGCCTCAAAGAATGACCTCCATGTGCTACTCAGTGCTAGCTCCTTTTATTCATGTATTTATTGGTTCACTCAGGTATTTATTTGGTATCTACACCAAACAGTCTCAGTGCTGCAGATACAGGGACACCTAGGGAGACTCACTTTTATCTAGGCCCTCCTTGTTATTGCAGGTATTTGCAAGTATTTAGGTAGCGAAATATTATACATTAAATGTCATATATTACAAGTTGGGCATCCCTAATCCAAAATGCCCTAACATCCAAAACTTTTTGAGCACCAACATGAGATAGTGATGAAACTGCCTTTGCAAAAAATGTAACAATGACAAAATTGACAGTTTAAGGGATCTGACCTGACTGACTCCATCTAACTTCTAACGTCTAAACTGCCCTTGTTCATTCCTGGACACAGGCAGAACTAACTTTGGGAGAAACTTAGTTTATAGTTTAACTTTAAAACAAAGATGATAACAGTTCTTTCCCCAAACAAACCCTCTTTTTGTCTGGGTACCAGACTGCCTCTGTTGGACTAACGAATCAGCCACAGATTTGCAACTTCTCCAATTACTCCTGCAGATAACATCACCATTGCAGAATCTAAGATTGGCCTTTTGTGATGTCTTTTCAGGCTTCTGCACTTCTGATGACTCCATCCAGATCTCCAGCTGGTCCTGTGGACCCATCCATCCAGAAGCAGACTCCATGAGCACAAGGACCATTTTCCACACCCCTATGATTGCACCCCATCCAATCAGCAGCACCCACTCCCTAGTCCCCACCTCCCTCCAGATTATCCTTGAAAAACCCTAGCCTCTGAATTTTGGGGGAGATTGACTTAAGTAATAAAACTCCAGTCTCCCACTTAGCCAGCTCTGTGTGACTTAAACTCTTTCTCTATTGCAATTCCCATCTTGGTAAGTCAGCTCCACCTGGGCAGCGGGCAAGATGAACCCAGGGGGCGGTCACAGTGACGCCTTTGCTTTCTGATGGTTTAATGTACACAAGCTTTGTTTCATGCACAACATTACGAAAAGTATTGTATTAAATTAACTTCAGGCTATGTGTATAAGGTCTATATAAAACAAACACATTTTGTATTTTGACTTAGGTCCCACCCCCAAGATATCTCATTATATATACACATATATATATTCCATATTCTGAAAAAATCAAAAATCCAAAATATTTCTGGTCTCAAGCATTTTGGGTAAAAGATACTGAACCTGTACAGGAGATGAAGAGAACCTGCAGCTGGAAAGACACCTCAGAAATATAGTCATATAATTCCAAGTCTTTATTTTTCAGATGAGTCGACTGGGGAAAGGGCAGCCTGGCTGAAGGTCAACAGCAGGGCTTTTTAATCAGATCCATGCTGCCCCCAAATAACGAAACCCTGGGTCAGCTTCTTTTCCAAATCTTGAGAATACAGGCTCCTGGGCCGCGAAATACAATTGAAAAAGTTTCTCTTCTAACAAAGAGTGCGATGTCTTGAGTACTTTAACGTACTGTTTTCTGAAATCCCACTGTTTGCTGGGAGGCTTTGGTGTGGGGTGTCTGATACGTTATATAAAGAATCTCATGCGGCCCCAGGAAAAAGCACATATATCCACGTTTTTGTTCGATTTTGTAAAGCTTATTGTGTAAGATCATATTTTTGTTTTTAATAAAGAACAAAAATGAAGCTTCAACATTTGTGAAGAAACATCCTTTTTGAGAGAAGATAATTTGGTCAGAAGCATTATTTGTTATTTTGGCTTCTATTAAAGTTTTCTCAGAAATCAGATTCCCTGTCCTAAAAATCTGACTTCTGTATAACAGGTATATTGTATCATCTGTACTTTTAAGAAGTTTAAAGATGGCCAGGCACGTTGGCTCACGCCTGTAATCCCAGCAATTACAGGCGTGTGGCCGAGGTGGGCGGATCACCTGAGGTCAGGAGTTCAAGACCAGTTTGGCCAACATGGAGAAACCTTGTCTCTACTAAAAATACAAAATTTGCTGGGCGTGGTGGCACATGCCTGTAATCCCTGCTACGCAGGAAGCTGAGGCAGAAGAATCACTTGAATCCAGGAGGCGCAGGTTGCAGTGAGCTGAGATCGCACCACTGTACTCCAGTGTGGGCAATGAGATTGAAACTCTGTCTCAAAAAAAAAAAAAAAAAGTTTAAAAATGGCTGGGCATGGTGGCTCATGTCTCTAATCCCAGCACTTTGGGAGGCCAAGGTGGGCAGAGCACCTGAGGTCAGGAGTCTGAGACCAGCCTGGCCAACATGGTAAAATCCTGTCTCTGTTAAAAATACAAAAATTAGCCGGGCATGGTGGCACATGCCTGTAATCCCAGTTACTTGGGAGGCTGAGACAGGAGAATCTCTTGAACCTGGGAAGTGGAGATTGCAGTGAGTTGAGATCGCACCACTGCACTCCAGCCTGGGCAACAGAGCAAGACTGTCTCAAGAAAAAAACTAGACAAAAGATAAGCTAGCAATTCCCACACCCACACCCACCCCAAGGCTTTCGCTATTTCAGTAGGGGCAGCACGCCAGCACAGTTGTGTAACAAAGCTCCTGGGCATCACCCTAAATTAATTCCCTGCTCTACGTCCCTTCTCTCTGCCACCCTATTAGCAAACAACTGCCTGCCTCACCATGGAGCTGGATCTGACCCCATCTCCACTGCTACATACCCGCTCCAGGTACAGCCAGGTGCTGCTTAATGACAGGGACACAATCTGAAAAATGCATTCTTAGGCGATTTCGTCATTGCGCGAACATCATAGAGTGTATTTACACAAACCTAGATGGTGTATTCTTAATGTACACCTAGGCTACATGGTACAGCCTATTGCTTCCAGGCTACAAACGTGTAGAGCAGGTGACTGTCCTGAACACTGGAGGAAACTGTAACACAATGGTAAGTATTTGTGTATCTAAACATAGAAAAGGTAAACACACGGTACTATAATCTTAAGGGGCTGCTGTCACCGACCGAAACGCTGTTACAGGTGCATGACTGCATCACATCTCTGGCCTGGGCTACTCCAACAGTGTTCACAGGACCCTTGCTTCTGGCTCCAAAAGTGGAGGGGACACTCGTACCATTGTTTCACCATAGTGTCACCTCCTGGCCACCCTCTGCCCAGCAACCATACGGACCTTTCCAAAGCATAAAACAGACATCGGGCACTGCTGAAAAGCCCCAATGGTTTCCGCCAGAATCAAATAACACCCAACGCTTCCCATGACCTGCAAAGGTGCACAGCGGGGGCCCGTCTAGCTCTTCTGCCCCTGTGCACTGTCCCCTCACTCTCTAGGTTCCAGCCACCCTTGGCTTCCACTCTGCCGATATGCCAAATGCACTCTTACCTCAGCAGCCCGGATCTGCTCCTCCTACAGGGAGTCCGATTCCTCGCGGTCCCAGAGTGACCTCCTCCCACCTTTCAAGTCTGAACTCACGTAACACCTCCTCAAGGGTTCTCCTAACCTGAAGACCTCTCCTTCTGCTTGTCATAATCATGCCTGACCACATGACTGCATTTTATCTTCTTCACAGCATTGATTACTGTTTGAAATTACCTTATTTAGCTGTGTGTTTTGCTGTCTACACTCAAGAGAAGGCAAGCTCCCTGAGGTCTGGCTTGTACAATGTTCTATCTTTAGCACGTAAGAGAATTCCCTAGGAGAACACCTGGCTTGACAGAATGGCTACTTGCTATTTTACTTTCAGAAAGCCCTTCTGTTGGCATCTTCATGTTTACTAAACTATATCTACTGGCCATCAAGAATGGTGACTCTGTATCACGATGTCTTGTGGTATACACATTTAGTACAGCTTGACTTTTAATATTTGCTATGGTTTGAATGTCTGTCCCCTCCAAAACTCATGTTAAACTTTAATTGCCATTGTAACAGTATTAAGAGGTGAGGCTGTTCTTTTTTTTTTTTTTTGAGACAGAGTCTCGCTCTGTTGCTCAGGTTGGAGTGCAGTGGCGTGATCTTGGCCCACTGCAAACTCCGCCTCCTGGGTTCAAGCAATTTTCCTGCCTCAGCCTCCCAAGTAGCTGGGATTACAGGCGCCCACCACTATGCCTGGTTAGTTTTTGTATTTTTAGTAGAGATGGGGTTTCCATGTTGGCCAAGGTGGTCTCAAACTCCTGACCTCAGGGGATCTGCCCATCTCGGCCTCCCACAATGCTGGGATTACAGACACGAGCCACCACGCCCAGCCGAGGTGAGGCCTTTAAGAGGTGACCTTTTAGAGGTGACTATGCTATGAGGGCTCCACCCTCATGGGTGGGATTGATGTTATTATAAAAGGGAGAATTTGGCCCCCTCTTGCTCTTTCCTCTCCTGCCATGTGATTACACATTAGGAAGACCCTCGCCAGACACCAGCACCTTGATTTTGGACTTCTCAGCCTCCAGAACTACGAGTCGATAAATTTCTGTTCATTTTAAATTACCCAGTCTGTGGTATTTGGTTAGAGAAGCGTAAAATGGGCTAAGACAATGTTGCTTTTAATTGTACCTTGAATGGTTTTATATATATATATATAAAATGAACTTTCTTCTTAAAAAAAAATTTCCCATAACATTTTCGGGGGTGGTGTACAGTTCTAAGAGCCTTCACGCCCATGAAGATTTGTCCAACTACCACCACAACCAGGAGATAGAACAGCTCTGTCCCTCCCCCAAACATCCCTGGTGCTGCCCCTCTGCAGTCACATTCCCTGCTTCCCTGCCATCCCCGCTCCTGGCCACCACTGGTCTGGCCCCCATCACTAGAGCTGCGCTTTTTATGAGGCTATGACATGAGTGGAATCATGTATGTAACTGCTTCTCCTGGAAAGGTGCCCAGGTTGTATCCTGCATCCGTGGACCGTGCCTTTCAGGCGCCCAGGCTGTATCCTGCATCCGTGGACTGCGCCTTTCAATTGCTAAGTGGTATTCCATTGTATAAATGCACCACACCCACCGAAGGACATCTGCCCTCAAACAGCCCAAGGTCAAGTCCTGCCTTCAGGGTGGTCAGCAATGTTTTGGACCCCGCTCAGCCTTTCACTACTTACCGGGCAAAGACAGTGCCGCTGCCACCCGGGAACGTGTAGGGGTGCTGCTTCCGGAACACATGTCCCACACGGCTGCATGGGATGATCTCCAGGCTGCCACCACACTGCCACACGCGGAACGAGATCTCTGAGATGATGAACAAGACATGGGTGACTGGCAGAGCCTGGGACGCTGCTCTGCAACAGCAGACATGCCAGGCGGGTACACAGGCCCCCCCACCATCCCATCACGGGGCTCCCCTGCCCTCTGCTGTTGAAGAAGACCTGATAAGGACCTTCCTCTTTCCAGAACCCGATCCAGAAATCTACAGGAGAGACATCTGACACACTTGGATCTCTGGACCACAATACAATCAAGAAAGAATGTTCACGGGGAAATATTTTTCAGATGCGGAGTAGAAACCTTGAGACAAGAATGCTTCTTGGCCTATTGTAAATATCAAGGCCTCCTGGCATAAGATCATGTATACCCAGTAGCATCACAACTACTGAGCGATGAAACACTTGTGCTGAATTCCTCACTAGCTGGCTCACGATCATTTGCACTTGCTTAGTATCAACACTGTGGGAAAAGGCAACACTGAAGGTATATAAATATGTACAATTAAGCTTTATTGTTACATATTCTAGACAACCATATATGTCATCTTTCTCTAAAACTTATTTTGAACAGACTGAACCCCAGGATGCATCTTGGCTTTTCCCATCCAGGGAAAAATAATCCCTTCCCTCAAATGGCAAAGCTTATTAAATACAAGTCCCTGTGCATTAGCAGGCTCAAGCCTCCTGGCAGAGTTTGGACTTCTGGACCATGGACTTAGGGACTGCCTGAAGGACTATGGTAGTGATCAAAGACAGTCAAGTAACTGACTGATATCTCCACACTGCTCACAGGCTTGGACCCGTCAGTAACCAACTGGCCCAGGTGGAATGCTCCTTGGGGAAGGCTGCTGTTCACCTGCTTCAACACAGAACTGGTCTGCAGGAGGAATGAGACGTGCAGGGCTAGGCACTACCCACACCTACCTAAACACACAGACTGCCCTGGGCGCTGGAACTTAGTAGAAGCCTAGACTGACTGGTGCTTCTTTCGTGACACACAGGTACCTTCCGACCAGGTACCTGCCCGTATCACCACTGACTAGGTGAGTGACTGGAGTCTGAGTCAGGGGTCTGACTGAATGCAAGAAACAGATTCAACAGAAAAACTAAGATAGGATTTTCTGAAAGGCAAAAACCAGTTTTTCTTCACAAGGTTTGTATAATACAAAAGGGAATTTTCCTCAGTATCATCTAAGATCCCTAAGAACATGTTAGGGAGGCAGGACAAAAATCAACAGTTACTGCGAATGACAGGACTTCATTCTTTTTCTGGCTGGACAGTATTCCCAGGAAATTAAGTGAAATAAGAACAGAAAGTTGAACACCATGTTTTCACCCATACGTGGAAGCTAAAAAACATTGATCTCATAGAAGTAAAAAGTATAATGGAGGACAGTCAAGGCTGGGAAGGAAGGAGTAGGGATTTGTTTAAGGATACAAAATTATAGCTAGAGAAGAGGGATCCTGCTTGTGTTCTACAGCCCTGTAGGTTGACTCTAGGGACTGATAATATATTACATAGT